AGTAAAATAAAAAAAAAGACATCTGCCTTCTTATAAGGTCAGGTATTCTTCCAAAAGTTTATGCCCATCATTCCACCAGGACTGGGTGGGATCTAAGTGGAGTGCAAAGCTTTCCTAATGCAGTCAGTAGTCTCAGAAGTTTCTTTGGGATGTTACTTTTAGAAAGCTGGGCAAGGTGTGGGACATGCTCTTAGCAGGTGCTGTCTGATTGCCATGCTTTAAAAAGGTTACAACACAAATATGCATGACAAAAAAAGTATGCCTGAAAAGAGCAGCCACTTAGCTTGGCTCCTTGAGCACCTTGCAGATAGGCCTGCTAGGAGCTTTCAGAAATTAAAAAAATATTCACTTAAGGCACAGAAGCATGTGTGTTAGAATGACCCAAACTACATGTGGAAACTGCTTAGTAAAATCATATCTAGTTACAGAACGAAACGAAACCATGAACCCCCGTGGAAAATGAAAAATTTGTCCTATAATCTGTTTATACCATTATCCCTGAAGTAATCATAAACACAAGTGTCTGACATTATCTTGATGTCTGTCTTGTAAATTGAAGATACTGAAATAAATGTTAACTGAGTAGCTGAACTATATTTGCCCACTTGTGTGTTAAGTACTTGTTTTTTTGGCTAAATGATCAAAACCATCCTCCTCTTTCACTCATTCATTTGCAGAGAAAGATGCTTTAAGATTATGACTCTAAGAGTGAGGCTTAGGACAGTTCACAAGTAGGAAGAAACTTGACTTAGTTAAGTAAAATGGAAAATAACAGTGAGCAGAGTGTTTCTAGCATATTAATGTTTCGTAACTGCTTAAAAGAAAAGTTTCTCCTTTTCTCACATGTTTTCTCACATGTTTCATTCATTTTTTACTATCTGTAAATTTTAACAGTTCATTTCTTTTCCAGTCTTTGTTTTCGTATGCAAGGTCTTACTCTACTAAGTTAGTTTTATTCTTGTAGATAATGTTATTTGCAAATAGTAAACATATTTTTACTCAAAACTATAGTATGTATTAGCAAACGTGTTGTGTTTTATAACAACCTGTTGGCCACAGGGAAAATAAAGCACACAACAGTTTCCAAACAGCAGAGTCTGGTAGATGTGTGGCCAGGTAGTAATGCAGGGATTAAAATGTCTGAGTGCACAGTGTTGCGGCCCCGAGCACTGGCTGTATGTAGCAGAGGCCCATGGAAGAAAAAGTAGAGGGAGGTGGGATCCGGAGGTGGGTGGGCTTTAAATCCTTGACTAAAGAACTTAAAAGGGTTTTCTGTTATTTTTCACAATCAACCATAATAAAAACGCAGGTAATACACATCGTTTGTTCTGATTATAAACTCTGTAAAGTTCCAAACAGCTACTAGAATCCAGTTGTCATGCTTTTCTAAAGAAAGATCTTATTGCAAGTTCCAGCAGTCTTAGTTAACTCTCTTATCCCTCTTATGTGCTGAGTACAGTCGGAGGAAGAGGAATTGGAGTTGGTGAGTGTGGTTTCCTGCTTGAAGGGAGTTGAAAAATATATAAAAGTACTAATTATTTTAATGTTTTCATCTAACCTTTGTTTCATTGTTACAAAGATATTTTTCTGTGTTTTTCACTATCCAGACATTTTTAAGCAAGAAATTCATGTACTGGTACTATTGATCCTAGTTTTTATGTTTATTTTTGTGTATATATTGGTCTATTTTATTTGAAAGGGGAGGGAGGAGACATTGAAACAGCCCATAAAGACAATAGCTGTCCATGAACACAGGACACTTCAAGCTTTTTCTTCTAAGGAAATACACAAAATACCTTATGTGGCTCTCCAAATTATTCAAGTATTTTTAGAAAATGACTTCACCATCAGAGTCCCTCAGATTGTAACACAGAATCTTGTGTTATGTTTCTTTCTTTCAAAAAGATTACATCATTTTGGTGAGGTCACCTTTTTTCAGAGTTGGGATTATTTCATCCTGCATGAGACAGTCTGAACCACAAGGGGGTTCCCTGTTTACAGAAAGATGTGTCTGTAATTGAGCGTGCACACATTTACTGCTTATCAGGAAATGTTTGATTCTTAAAAGCAGCTGATAGGTATTTTTCCAAAACATTTTTTGTTGTCTTTTCCTCTGGAAAATAAGTGTGACTAAAAATAACTTAGCTTTTTGTTGGGAACTAAAACCCAAACACAACAGATGTCATCATACGCATTCCAAGTCAGTTGCTAATTAGATTACTGGTTTAAGGGGAATAAAAACTTGTAAGTGTTCAGGTTTTAAACATGGACACAGGTTAGGAGTGCATGAAAGCATGGGGTATAAAGGCATCAACTGTTTTCATTTACTTATTATTACATGTTTATGCATGCTAGTGTGATTTGCACAGTTTGTTTTCTTTTTAAATAAGGTTATCTGTTCTTTAGCCTTAAAATAAGAGATGGTCTTTTATTTGCTCTGTGCTTGCTTGTTTTAGATGTTATTTTGTATTGATATCTAACACATTCATTGATTAGTTATAAATGTGATGCTAGATTACACAATGACTATCTTTGGGGGAAAATGCTTTAGTTAAGCATACTATTAATGGTTGCATTATGGTTCAAACTGAAATAATTTGTCTTATAGTAGACTTTACTCTTTCCCTTAAATAGTTGTCCTAACTGCTTTCCTTAATTATCTAGCACTGTGTTGCCCTCTAGTGGTTCTGAAACTCAGTTATTCATGGAACACACTGCTGCAGAGATTTGGTGGGCAGAACCAATATAATGAAGTACCATTGGTACCTCAGTCTTTGAAGTCATATCAGGAAGTTGCCATAAAGATGAAGACTGAAGTGGAGATAGCCTACACCAAGCCAACTCAATAACTAAGTTATTTTTTTTTTTTCACCTAGTTTGGTTTGAGACCAAATTAAGTCCAGAGTAAACCCCTTACTCAAAAAGTCATTGAAATTGTTGACTCAGTACTGAGACTAAGATGTGTCTCCACCTGTCAGCCAGTAGATGAAAGCATATGACTTTCTACCTCTTTTGAAATATCATGTAACTGCAGAATCTCAGAGATAGTTTCTGAGTGTGTTGTAATGTGCAAATCATAAAACTAAGATCACTAAAAACTGTAGTCATTCACGTTCTTTAAAAATTGAAGCTAATTCAGACTCTAACAGTTAAATCAATTGAAAATGCAAAGCAGAACCAGAAATGTAGTCCACTAGAACTTAGAAAGTTATTTAGAGTACTTTGTGCCCTAAAATAATCATTAAGGCTCTGATCCAAAGTGAAGGGAAAGAAAGGAGCCCAGTTACTGGGCTGTATTGAGGACTTTCCTGGTAAATGCGAGGCTATAAAGACTCTGTTAGAAGCCTCACACTTCTAGAATAATTTTACCTCATTACAGTTTTAGTGGGGTGGCAGTGGAACAGAAGGAATATAAATATATTTGTTTTAATCACCAGTAATGTAAAATTTTAATTGTAGAGTCTGGGGACAGTAAGAATGCTGTCTTGGGCTCATTTCTAATACATTGCTCTGATTGTAAGTAGGGGTGTCGCAAGCCAGGCAGGACTGACATGTCTGACTCCCCTCAGAAACAAATTAGGGTTCAGAGAAGTGAAGAGAATTTTCAGTCAATGACTAAAGCTTGGGTGGCATATCTGCACATTATATAGTATTTCAGACGTCCTATAAGAAGATGTATAGGAAATACAAACAAGCCTAAAAGAAACTGGAGTCTAGATCTTCCTCAGAGACCACCTTTTAGGCATTCACATTTAGCCAGAGGCCTTTATTTATCTCACAGCTTTCTGAAAATAGTGGTAGAGAAAATGTAGCCTCATTCAGACTTTCAGTTGTGACATCGAGCCCCTAAAATACCAGTCACCAGGTTATAACTTTATTCGTAAAAAACAAATTATAGTTGCCCATTAGCTTTCTTGTATACAAACTATGGGATATCTTCTGTTCTCTGATCCTTGATCTTGGAAAATGTCAGCTTTAGGTCAATGTGAAAAGAAAAAAAGAAAAAAAAAAAAAACTAACTGTCTTACACCTATACATGGAAGACAGGGCTATCCTAAAACAAACAGCTTTATCATTTAAGAGTTGACTTGTTTTGTTTTTGTTTTTGTTTTTGCCAGGCACAGGCAGTCCTTTAATCCCAACAGTCAGGAAGCAGAGGCAGGTAGATCTGTGAGTTTAAGGCAAACCTGGTCTACATAGCACGTTCCAGGCCAAGCCAGGGCTACATAGACCTTGTCTAGGGAGGGAAGGGGAGAGGAAAGGGGGGGAGAGAGAGAAAGAGAGAGAGAGAGACACTAGGACTTGGCTAAGGTACTACTATGCAGATACCTATTCAGTCAGTGTTTACTAGCCCATTTACAGCGCTTTGAAAAGTACTTATTTAAAAACTTGAATCCTTCCCTTTCAAAGAACTGGGAGACCAGAAGGATACAGATCTGAATGAATGTACTGTTAAACCTAGGTCCCCTGCAGGGTGAGCAGGAGAGAGACTAGAACACAGCCTGCATGGAATAAGTCACCACCTTGAACATTAGCTTATGAGGCCTGCAAAGGAAGTAGATTTCATTCTTGTGCTCTTAGATTTATAATCTCATGTATACAAATGACTGCTGCTGCCATAAGCCATTTAAAACCTACACAGACTTCATTTAATGTAGCTTGACAATACTTGTGATGACATCAAGTCCTCATTAAGCTATCACACAGGTGTTACTGCCCATAAGGTAAGTTTCTATTTTAAGACAATGAGTCTGGCATTAAAATGCTGCATTTTTAAAGGGGGAAATGGATAATTAATATAAAAGCAGATCTTTTAAAATTCAATATTTATTTATTCCCATTAATATCTTTAAGGTTTTCATATCACAGTTTCAAGAAATAATGACATTCACATAAAATTGTGAAAAGTGTCACATTTAAATTGAAAGTTATTTTTAAAATACTCAGTCTGAAACTATATACCACATAATTACACTTAATCTTTTTTTGATCTCTCATAGAATGCCCAAAGGATAAGCAGTTCTCAAGCTACTCAGCCTCTTGCCACCCCTGTAGTGTCTGTGACAACTCCAAGCTTGCCTCCGCAGGGACTGGTGTACTCAGCAATGCCGACAGCCTACAACACTGGTGAGCCATCTCTGGGGCTTTTTCCCGGACTCTATTCTTACCATCTTCTAAACAAGGTGTACTTTTGTAATCTTTTTAGTGTGATGATTGAAATATTACCTCCTTTTTTTTTTTGTTTTAAATTTAAATGTATGTATTTTTAAGTGCTAAACCTTTAAAAACTTACATAAGAGGAATTGATAATAGAGTGAAGCAAGTTATTTCTCAAATTCTTTTACTGCTCTTTGGGGGCAGAGGAGGTTGAGACAGGATTTCTCTACGGACAGCCCTGGGTGTCTTGGAACTCATTCTGTACACCAGGCTGGCCTCAAACTTAGAGACTCCTTTCACTGCCTCCCGACTGCTGGGATCAGAGGCATGTGCCACCATGTGACATTTTACTAATTCTTGAGAAAGAAGCAAGTAGCTATTGTTAAGTATGGCACACATTCAGCCAAGAAATATAGGAGCCAAAAGCTCAGGTATTTTTATGAAGTCTTTCATTGTACAAGTGTCTTGTTCTTCCTCACATTTGGAATCGGGTTGTTTGTCGTTATGCTGTAAACCTGCTTTGTGAAAGGGCAAAGGTCACTTAGGGGTGTGGAAGGTGCTTCACTGTGGCGGTCTGTGTTATTTGTACCTGTGGAGGAAAATGATCACTTTGCTCATTCCTCCCTACAGCCAAGTCACTCTGCTGCTGAGAAGAGGCTTTCATTCGTTTGTGTTTTTAGACTTTTCATCTTAAAATACTCTTAAGACAGAGGATTGTTAATGAAAGTTTTAGGAGGAGCTGAGTGGTGGTGGCACACATTTTCAATTCCAGCAGATCAGGTAGACGGATCTCTTGAGTTCAGTGCTAGCCTAGTCTACAGAGTGAGTTCCAGGACAGCCAGGGCTGCACAGAGAAGCCCTGTCTTGAAAAACAACAACAACCATGCATGCATGCATGCATGTGTACATACATACACACATACATACGTACATGGAAGAAAGTAAGTTTAGGAGGGGGTCGTCACTGCTGGGCAGATGGACCATATGGAGAACTGGTAAGCACTCAGTTCCCCATAGGTTTACCTTCTAAACCAGGCGGGACACACATGTGTCCAAATACCTGTGGCTCCAGGAAAGCAGTAAATTGCACCTTGTCTGTGGTTCAGAGGCTGCAGTGCAAGGAGGTCACTCTTTTGTGATGCTCATAAGGGAACTGTAGTAGAGATCACCTAATTTTAGACCAGAGTAAATGCTTTGGCACCAGCACTAAAACTGCAGTGTGGAGCTACCTGGAGGGAGAAGCACTTTATACATGTGATTGGCACTTTAATTCCAAGGGCTAGTTCTTTTCAAACAGCAACAAGTTGGTAATGGGCTTGTTGACAAAGAAAGCCTGGGGGATGTCCTTTAGCTTCCCAGGCATTGGTATGAAAAAAGGCACTGCTCCAGTCTGTCAGATGCTTAGTAGCCTGTGACTTTTCGCCCATTATTTGTGTCTTCACAGACGTAATTCCAGAAAAGGCCAGAGCTTAAGCACTTACAGAAATTCAGTTAGACTGCATCAGTCACTTGCTGCATAAGAGATTCTGAGTTAAGGGTATATCTTTTTTCCAGATGAGATAGTCACAGCTTAGCTGGTGAGGATATGTAGGGAAGGCTCACATTGTTGAAGTTTCTAGTTTGTACTCTGAAGTTGAGAAGACAGGAAAGGAGGGAGCTTGAGAGGTCAGATGCTCAGAAGGGTAAAACTGAGGAATCTGTGTTTGGATTTGGTGTCAGATTGAGATTGCAATGTAACATATGGCTCATTGCAGGCATTCCAGTACACTTGAAATTCTACTCAAATATATTTTTAGAAACCCCATTAATTTCTGAAGAATCTATATATGTATAAGCATTTTAAAATACTGTATACATATATTTTACAAAGTCCCCAAGGATTTACCAAAATACTAAAAGTGGAGCGAGCCTCCCATAAAGTCATGTGACTGTCTCTCTAAACATTAGTCTCATTCGAAGGTCACTTTTACTATCCTTCTTAGAATGGCTGTTTTGTTTAATTTTGCCACATTATTGTATATATTGTTTTTCTTTCTGTATATAATTAGTGTCATGCTCACCATGCCAGGCAGAAGATAGAAGGATGGATAAAGGAGCAACTTTTTGAAATAGCCTGTGAATCCCATAGACACTTCTGATGCTCATCAGTAGCATTATTGCAGCTTCAGAATGTATGGACATGTCTGACATTTACCCTAACAGGCGCTATAAATAGAGTGTGTGTTCAGTGGAACTGCGGTCTGGAAAGAGAAGAAAAGTAGCTCTGGGAAGACCTGTTTCTATGGTGCCAGGGCCTGTCTGTCTTCAAGGACACAGGCAGGAGGTTACCAGGCAGAACAAGGCGATTGTCACAGGCAGGGCAGTTAGACTTGAGATGGAGAAGTAGGAGTGTGTTAGGTATGTTACAGAACATCACTATCATATTTGTTATCTTCCAAAATGTCATTTTGGCTCTAGTCATAGGAAATGTCTCTGTGGTTAAGACTTGGTGCTGTAGAGGACTGAAATTCAGACCCCAGCACCCACTTCAGGTGGCTCATAACTGCCTGTAACTCCAGCTGTGGGAGAGTCTAGAACCCTCTTCTGGCTTCTGTGGGAACCTTTACTCATGTGTACAGATACACACATAATTAAAGTAATAAAAACCAAATTTTGATTTTTTTTTAAATGAATGCCAGTAAGTTATAGAGAGGTAGTATAGTATCCAAGTACTCGTTTACTGGTGCCTGGGACTAGAGTAGTAAGATTACACTGGCGAGACAGCAAATGGAATTGACCAGACTGAGTTGTTGATAACACAAGTAAGAGCACAGCAAAGAGGAATGTTAACACTCAGTTTCCTGGCAGGAGCCATTGGGTACGTTGGTGCAGCTTACCAAGAGAGAAAGAACAGCTTTTAGCAGAACATGAGTTCAGTTGCGTATACCAGAATTAAGGTGTTTGTAGAGATGGCCATGCGGCACATGTCAGGTGGGCCACTGGGCAGACCAAGAAGTCAAAATAGAATTGTGGACAGGCATCGTGCTGAGACTCTGTGCATGTCAAGTATGAAAAGATAGTCCCATAGAAACCTGAATGCCAATGGCACTGTCTCAACTCAGCCTTTTTTTTTTTTTCTTAAAAAAATATTAATGCAGTAGGAGGACCAACTATGTTAAATACCTTTCTTGCGACATGAGAAAAAAAAGTTAAAAGTAGGAGTCTTTGCCACCTTTCCTCAGAACTAAATGGAAAACCCAGGTGTTAATGCTGAACTTCAGTAAATGCATACAAGCAGTATCTAGTGTTTAATCTAAGCCTTGGTCATGGTAATTATGACTGAAGCACTTGTAGAAAATGACTTGTGTGTCATAGAAAGATGTTCATGAGTTTGAGGTGATATGTGTAGTCAGAGGTATTAAAGCAAATGTAGTTCATTGTGTTGTGGTGTTAGTTCATCTTCATTCTAAGCTTGTCACATAAGAAAGCTTCTTTGTCTTTCCTGTCCTGCTTGGCATCAAGATGTGTTGGTTCAGGTTCAGTGCAGGGTACCTCTTTTTCCCAGAGGGCAGGCATATTTATCTAGAATAGTAACTGTGTGGTAATAGTAACCTTCTTTTGTAGATTACTCTCTGACCAGTGCTGACCTGTCGGCCCTGCAAGGCTTCACCTCCCCTGGAATGCTGTCTCTGGGGCAGGCTTCAGCCTGGCAACAGCACCATCTAGGACAAGCAGCCCTCAGCTCGCTAGTGTGAGTAACTGGAAATTTCCCTGAGCTTTTGCACACAACCTATACATACTTCCTGTCAGTTTAATTTTTGCTTTGCAGGCTACCTTGAACAACTCTTCCATGATTCCTGTTTATGTAGATACAAGAAATTATTTTCTTTTCTTTTTTGTTTTTGTTTGGGTTTTTTTGTTGGTTTTACTTTTGGTTTTTTGAGACAGGGTTTCTCTGTGTAACAGCTCTAGCTGTCCTAGACTCTGCTTTATAGAGCAGGCTGGTCTTGAACTCACAGAGATCTGCCTGGCTATTACAGGTATGTGCCACATGCCCAGCAGGAGAGAAAGTATTTTCTTAACATAGCTCTAGATAGTAGCATGGATGCTGAGCAAACCAGGCATTCTTTGAAGGGATTTGGAGAACAGAACTTTTCCTTTTCAACATGGAGAATCAGATGGTATCAAGGGGATCTCAAAGCCCACATGCTGCCTGCATGTCCTGCTCACTCACTGACAGATGAATAAGCCAGTCCTTCCCAGCATCACCTGTGAGTCTGCTCCCTGAGGAAAGGTAGCTGAAAATGGTCAGGCTCATCTGCCTCTTTCCTCCTGTGCTTTGGAGAAGAGGACAGCAAGCCTTGCCCTTGCTTTCTCCCTGGATCTTTGTAGTGGAAAGGTAGGATTGAATATCCTGTGTATGAATTAAGTGCCATAGGATTCCTTTGATTATTTCTGGCCCAGTTCACAAATTTCCTCATTCATAAAAGGAATGTTCCTTATGGGCAGGGTGTGAGGCAGAGAGGATTTATGATGGTGCCCAGGAGAGACCAGACTTCCTGAATATCAGAAGGAACCAGTACAAGAGAGCATCCAGAAGAGGGAAAATATAGCACCAGTTGGTTGCTTTGTATCTGATGAGGACTGGGGCACCTTAGGCTCCTGCCCACGGTGCCCAGAGAGCAAGCAATTCCTTTCTCTTGGCTAGTGAAGGAACTGCACATGTGGATTGTAATCAGTAGTACTCTGGAGAATGTGTTATGGGTGAAAGTGCAAAGTATCTTTTGTTGTTGTCGTTTAGTTTTGTTTTTTGTTTTTCCAGACAGTGTTTCTCTATGTAGCCTTGGCTGTCCTAGAACTCACTCTGTAGACCAACCTGGCCTCGAGTTCACAGATGTCTGCCTGCCTCTGCCTCCCAAGTGCTGGGATTAAAGGCGTGTGCCACCACACCCGGCTGAGTGCAAAGTAACAAAGAACAAATGACAAGAAGCAGGAGCCTTCCACAGGGGGCCTCTGAAAGACTCTCCCCCCCAGGGTATTGAAGGAGATACTGAGACTCAGAGCCAGACTTTGGGCAGAATGGAGGAAACCTTATGGAAGAAGAGGGAGATAGATCTGGAGGGGACAGGAACTCTACAAAGAGACCAACAGAGCCAAAATATCTGGGCCCAGGGGGTCCTGAAGAAACCAATACTCCAACCAAGGACATGCATAGAGAGGACCTAAAACCCCTGCTCAGATGTAGCCCATAGACTCAGTCTCCAAGTGGGTTCCCTAGTAAGGGGTGCAGGGGTTGTCTCTGACATGAACTCAGTGTCCTCCTCTTTGATCACCTCCCCCTGGGGGTGTGCAGCCTTGCCAGGCCACTGAGGAAGACAATGCACCTAGTCCTGATGAACCATGACAGGCTAGGGTCAGATGGAAGGGGAAGGAGGTCTTCCACTGTCAGGGAACTAGGAAAAGGGCATAGGGGGAGAAGAGAGAGGGTGGGTGGAACTAGGAGGAGATGAGGGAGGGGGCTACAGCGGGGATACAAAGTGAATAAATTGTAATAAATAAATAATAAACTCCAGGAAATAAGTGGAAAGGCCTTGACGTTTAGACATAGTAGGAAATTCCCAACTCCTATACTACCCTAAGAAAGTTCCTAGCCTTTCTGAAACAACTTGTTCTTGTGAAAAAAGAGGATGACTCAATTTACGTCTTCTGGCTAATGTGTAAAGATGAGATGCCTGTCATGAGGCCCCAGTACAAAAGATACTGAAGGATGGAAGACAGGGAACAGAGGTCAAGGTCTGTGTTGTTCCTTTTTAGACAGCACCAGAATGAAAACTGTTACTTCAGAGTTGATCTTCCCAGACAGGCAATGTCTGCTGAGCTGTGTTGTATGAGTTATACACTTGTACTACGAAACTGTCTCACCTCTGTTGTTTCTCTACAGGGCTGGAGGGCAGTTATCTCAGGGTTCAAATTTATCCATTAACACCAACCAGAACATCAACATTAAGTCAGAGCCAATTTCACCTCCCCGGGATAGAATGACCCCATCAGGCTTCCAGCAGCAACAGCAGCAGCAGCAGCAACAACAGCAGCAGCAGCAACCACCGCCACAACCTCCACAGCCCCAACCCCGGCAGGAAATGGGGCGCTCCCCTGTGGACAGTCTAAGTAGCTCTAGCAGCTCCTACGATGGCAGTGACCGGGAGGATCCACGGGGTGACTTCCATTCTCCAATTGTGCTTGGCCGACCCCCAAATACTGAGGACAGAGAAAGCCCTTCTGTAAAACGAATGAGGATGGACACATGGGTGACCTAAAGTTTCCTGGTTTATGTTTGTTCTTTGTGTTACTGCAGTGAACTGCCCTACATATCTTAAGTTGGTGAATAAGGACATGAGTTCAATATATTTATATGTACATACATACATATATATCCCTTTACATATATATGTATGTGGGTGTGAGTGTGTGTATGTGTGGGTGTGTGTTGCATAAACAAAATCAGGCACTTACTGCAAATTCCTTGTAGGTCTGCAGATGTGTGTCCACACGGCAGACAAAGCACCCTGTAGAAACAGACCAGTCTGGCACTTCCTTGGACTACTTGTTTCGTAAGATAAACAGTTTTTGCAGAAAAACGTGTACCCATATATAATTCTTCCACATTAGCCTGCAGAAACCTAGGGGGCCCCCTATTTGTTTTATTTAACTGTGCGGTGACTGTAGTTACTTCAGAAAAAAAAAAAAATGCTTTGTAGAACAGAGCAGTAGAAAAGCAGGAACCAAGAAAGCAATACTGTACATAAAATGTCATTTATATTAATAACCCAACCTGGCATGGGTCTATTGCAAAGGGGTGCATGGGAAAGGGCTGTTGATATTAAACAAACAAACAGTAAACAAAAAGCCCCACACATAACTGTTTTGCACGTGCAAAAAATGTATTGGGTCAAAGAAGTGATTTTTAGCTAATAAAAAGAGAGAATAGAAAACACGCATGAAATATTCAGAAATAGCCTAGAAATATAGAGCATTAACAAAATAAATTAATATATTAAGTTATAATTGGAATATGTCAGAAGTTTCTTTTACATTCATATCTTTAAAAATTAAAGAAACTGATTTTAGGTCATGTATATTTTATATGAAAGAAAACACCCTTAATGAATTGATGACTATATATAAAATTATATCCACTACTTTTGAACACATTCTGCTGAATTATTTATATAAGCCAAAGCTGTATGTTGTAACTTTTTTTTTTTTTTTTTTTTTTTTTTTAGAGAATAGCTTTATCTTGTTTTAACTTTTTAGTTTTATTTTAAGAGGGGAGAAAAACAAAAATATCTTGCAAGCAGAACCTTGGAAAAAAAAAAGCCATGAACACTTATTATTCTATATGTAAATTAAAAGTTGAGCCAAACTTTCTGTGTATATAGCATCTTAAATATATTACCACCTTCGATGTAAGTACCTATGTATTGTATGGTCACCAGATTAAAAGTATATTTTTGTGGATTGCCGCCAATTTGGGGGGAAAGGCGAAGTCCTTAAGTAGAGTATTCACTGTTTAATATTTACTATTTTGTTAAATATACTGTACTTTGGATTTTAATTATTAGCCCAGTTTTTCAGAGGATTGTGTAAAGGGGTTTCCCCTCACTGGTGGTGAATGTGTGATGTTCTGTTGTAATCTTTGTGCTGTATGGGGTGAGCATCATTATATATTTTATACGTGTACATAAATAGCAAAGTGGCAAAAAATTGGTGTTAAGTTCATCCTGCATAAATATAAAATGTGTTGTAACAGATTTTATAAGGCATTATTTAAAATTTGCCTTTTGTGAGGAAAAAAAAAACAGTAGAAAGATGATCTAATTTAACTAATATTAGAGAAAATGGCAGAATAGTAGATGAGCACAAAGGTTTTATAAGTGGTAAATAATTAGGGAAATGTTTGTGGGGAAAGGGATCTTTTTCTCCTTGACTCTAAAGCTAGAATAATGCAGCTGGTTACAGAATCCACTCGGGTTTTTAGCTGTCCCGTGTGTGGAAAGCACGGGTGTGTGGGGAGCAGCTCTCCTGTGGTGCAGATCCTTGACACGATTCTTGCTGTCCTGACGGAAACTGGTGCCACCCTCAGCTTGGATTTTGAACAAGGCCTTACTTTTACAGGGAGACAGCTCGTTGGTGATAGCAAGTTCATCCGTTTACTGGGCTTGTGCCATGAACAAAATTCAAAGTCCTGTATATCTTTTATCCTAGATTTTTAAATACTCCTTTTCCTGAAAAACTTAAGGCTGCTATTTTATATTGAACAATGTTAAGCAGCTACCTGCAGTTTTTACGTACATTTTGGTCCCCCCACCCCACCCCCAAATTATGCTCCTTTTGCTGTTTCCTCATCTGCTGTTCTGACCACTCATCAGCCATGTTTCCTGACTGGCACATAGGAATTAGGTACATGCACTGGGTGAGCACGGGATTGCGCGGTGGAGAGTGCTTCACTGTCAGGGTAGCACATGTTAGTAGAAGCCAAAAAAAAAAAAAAGCAGGGGTGAAGTTTGGTCTCCTCTCTGTAGTCTCAACATTTGGCTCTTACTCAGAAAAGATTAGGCTTCTTCTTGAAATGTACTGAATTGACTTACAGGCACATTCTTCATAAGGTCATACCTAATTAAAACAAGACAGGCTCCCAACACTGAATTTCCAAGATAACCCTTACCACTTTGTAAACCATTTATAGCTTTGAAAGTGTTAAGTGACCCTTTCGTTATTATTTATGCATGTTCATGAACTTCTGCTGTATATTGGAATAGGAGTTAACACATTCACATTTACTGTCTATTTTCTTGTGTGCCTTATGAGATGGCTTTTCTGACTGTATCTCAATAGTCTTTCTTTCTATGCAGGTTTATAATCAGTACAACTACTGTTTTCTAAAGTAATATTACACAAGGCTCGGAGTTTGTATTTAAATTACACTGACCAAGTCACAATGTATTCCGTTTTCAGGAACTGAATATCTGACTGTTAATCTTTCCCCATATGCTCAGTGTGATTTGGAGCGTATGGGCTCGGCATCCTTCACCCAGATACTCATGTGTGAACACATCTTACATCCACAACTCTTGGTGGAAGCCACCCTAGAGTGGGGAGGACACTGACGGTGTTGCTTTAAAACTGACTTTTCTTACCCTTTGAGACTCATGTGTTTTGTATAAGACACCATCACAGGAAAATTTTCTCCCTTTAGATAACATATTTTATTATGAAAAAGAAAAACAAAAAAAGCTTAAGTTGCACTGGATATAGGAAGTCCCCACCAGCTTTACTTCCTCGGAACTCTTAAGTGATTCTACACTGAGAGTGAGCATCACCATTGTGTGAACACAGGTGGTCCCAGTCAAAACTCCATCCTTTGAGCCCTAATTACATCCATTGTGTTATAAAACTAAATCAGGGGTTTGTTCTAAGAGAACAATACATGTTTCACCATTTCCTTCTAGTTGTAAAGACGACTGATAATGTATTAACATAATTTCTGTATTAACCATCATGCGCACAAGAAATACATAGTAAATACGGAACCTGAAAACTCCTGGCATTGGATCATAAAAAGCTAGATGATTAGAATGTGAAAAAGACTTTACAAATGTAAAACTTTTATTTCTCTGTAGAAACTTTCTTCACTTTGCTGTGCAAGAAGACACTGCTTTGCTATATTTAAAATGGCTTTTTTAAAAGAGATTTATGTATTTGGTAAATGTTTGTAGTCAACAGTTCACACAGAAGCTGTACACGGTTTGATCATGTAAAACCGTTTGGCGGCACAAGCTGGACTTTGTTGCCATCCTTGAGATGAACCTTTTAAGAAAAATAAGTTAATCTCAATTTTTCCCTGAATGTGTTGTTTTTTTTTCTTCATTATACAATAAATATTATAGTGAAGTTTTTATCAAATGGTTAAGACAATGCTAGAGGTTGTTGTAAGCTATTTGTCTCCTGCACTCACTCCAGTAAAGATGGCCTGGCTTTTACCATACATCCAGACTCTGTCATGTTTGCCTGGGGAAACAGTAGGTTCTGGCGTGGCCACTAGGCATCCCTGCTCCCCAGCCTCATCTTGTGGCGTCTAGACAGCCCTGGAGCCTGTAGGAAGCAGCCCGCCATCTGTTCCCCAGTACCAACCTGGCTGTGTTGCAGTTCAGTTAATCCATTGCGTCTCCAAGAACTACTCTACTCATGGGGAATTGCCCGACATGTTGAGGGAATGGATGTTGGCACTTAACTGTCTTCACGGTTTACAGTGTGAGATTCGTTTGGGCCCAATTACATACATAGCCCTTAGGTCGAGGCAGTAAGAGACATCTGTATGTTGGAGTTGTGCTTCCCAGAGCTCGCCGTCTGGTTTCGGCACACCAGTTAGTCCTTCCCACTTTATGATCATAACCGAGCCAGAAAACCAGATAAGCTCCAAACAGTTGTCCAAACACACAGTTAAAAAAAAAGTCCTCTCCTTTGCCTTGTGAGCCAGCTCCTAGCTCAGCAGATTCTTGATGGCAAATCAAGTTTGTTTTTTTTTTTCCCCTCTGGTTTTGCTTGCTGGCTATAATGGGGCTCTTATTAGCAGGTTTTGAAAGCTGCTCAGAGTCCTACAGCTAAAAATACTCTAATCACAGCTGCAGCTACTTAATATCAATTCACTGAGTTCCGAGTCAGCTCCCATGGGTGCCTTGCTCTGGCCTTTATCTCGGTTTTAAGCTGATTGTGTGTCTGAGTGGCACCAGCCAAGAAAGTGATTTTTGGAGCCCTGTGCCAGCTGGAGGGCTGCAGCCCACCCCAGCCACCTGTCTAGATGAACACCACTTAGCTTTGGATGAGTCTGATGGTGACTGGGATGAGGGATGAAGTGTCACGTTCTGGCAAAAACAGCCCAAAATGTCCTGTCCTAGATGGTTCTGGAATTGATGGTGTCTGTGTCTCACTGATGGTTGCCCCTTCACCAGAGTGAGGGCTTCTGCCAGGCATCACTCAGAAAAGTACTGTCTCCCCTTTGTAATTAGTAATTTATCTTGAAGGTAACTCAAATATGAGGTTTCCCCAACTCACTCACTTTGCATCTTGTGCTCAGCAGTCACTAGCGTGGCCGTTGCCTGTTCTCTTCTAAGTTCATTAATTTGAATTAGACACAGGTGTGGCCGACCTCCGCACTTGCCTGGCTGCATCTTTAGATATTGACAGTGATGGACTTCCATCTGTGGGTTGTAATGTATCGTTCTGCTCCACAGACTTCTGGTTTGGGCGTCTAGGAGCACCATCAGGTGGACACACCAGTTCTCCAGCACTTCCTGCCTAGTCTTCAGCATATCCTTGCTCCTGGCACCACATGATGTTGCATTCTTGTGTTTTCCCTCTCCTTGACATGGGCTGGGTGCTTCCTTAAGGATTCCTCGTTCATTTTGTTAGAGAATGGCATTTTGAAGCCAAGATCTAGGCAGAAGTTGTGCTCATTGTTACTGGGGTGTTAACGTCGTTGGGGTGTGCCTGCACACTGGAAGTTGTGGGCATGCTCACAGGCTGTTCAGAGTCCACTTGGCTGCATCCTTGAATTCCTCTTGTCATTTGTGTGTTGCCTGCTTGCTTCATTTCTAGGAAGAACCCCAGCTCCTCTTACCCCTGCTCTTTTGGCACACTCTGTTCTAGTATGTACAGAAACTAGCTGCAGATTTCCCAGCCCATTCCTTGATGGGGAATGAACATTTCCTAGCTACATGAGAGCATGTGAGAGGTTGAGGCCAGGGGTTCTTTGCCCTGGCTTTACAATTACCCTGTCAAGATGGTGCTTAGCAGTTACTTTGTTCCTGTCCACTTGGAGTGTGGTTCTTTGTTACACAGCTAGACTCACCTGTAGGTGCTTTTGGTCTTACTTTGTGTACCCTTCCACCATAATTGGCTTTATTATGTATTTGTATGTCGGATCTATGAATGGCATCTTAAGAACCTTTTGTGGGGCAGTGTTGGGGACTGAACCCAGACCTTGCACATGCTAGGCAACCAGTTTACTGAGTTATATATCCCCAGATCCCCGTTGCTACTTTTCTAGGGCTTTTCTAGGATTCTTCTAGATTCTAGAAGAATCTCAGAGAAATGTTACTCTGGTACCCTGGTATCCTCCACATTCAATCTTTAATTTACCTTTTAATTCTTTCTGCTTTTCTTTTGTACAAGTCAGCACCTTTGGTGTATCTGAAAACCACTCCATTATAATAGTTCATAGAAACCAGCATGATTGTCTTCATAGCACCCTAGCATCCATCCTGTGGCTGTGTCCTAGGTTCTCAGTTTGTGCCTGTAGAAGTTTTATGAATGTAGGTGTATTTAGAAATGAGCCTCAGAAAAACAAACAAAAAACAATATGACTGTAAGTGCCCCAGAACCAAGCATAAAAGTATTTAAGACAGCAAAATACAGCATTCCAACATTATATTGCCATGTCTAGCATCTAGCCAGGCAGTAAAATAAATTTTTTTAAAAAATGAAATCTATAGCCAGGAGTGGAGAGATCACCAAATAAATTCAGAGTAACATGAGTGATAGAATTAGCAGAAGGGGGTGTTAACACAGTTCTAATCAATAAACGTTTGGAGCATGAACTCAGTGATGGAAAAATTGAAAGGTATGAAAAGTTACAGGAATTAAGAATACCTAAAATAAGTGATGCATTTAATGAGATGATGGCATTAGGAATTTTCTCATTACAAGGAGAAAAATAATGAAAACCACACAAAGAAAGTTGAATGAAAATCAATGTAATCTTAATGAGATTTACATCATCAAACAGCCAGCTCTCTGTATAACTAGAGAAAAATAATCGGGAAAATTTAAGAATGACTACAGTTTTCCAAATCAAATGAAACTTTATGGACTTACAGATCTAAGACAAGAGTTAAGAATAATGGGCATAGTAAGGAAATGTCATTCAGTGGTGCCAGCCCCATGCCATCGTGAGTCCCCTCTAATTTCTCTGAAATAATCCCAAGGCCTTAAATGCAGAACTCAGGTTGTTGCACATCCGGCGACAAACTGTTCTGGCAACATTTCCCCCAGTTCCATTTACACTCCCTGCATACCAGCTACTCAGTCCCCATCTTCCACCCTCTAGTCCTTTGATCAGCACCTGTCCACTGTGTCACTGACTCCCACTGGCTTTCTGTGTGTCAGCTAAGGAAATCTCAGCTCATCTAGAGAACCTATGACTGTCCCCCAGTTGACACATTACCCATTCCCCTCTCTGGGGCCCTGAGCCTTCATCACATCCCCTCCTAGCTTATCAGCCAACAGCCTTGAGGGCAGGGGACAGCCTCCCCTCCCCCCCCCCCCCCCCGTCTCATTATCACATTACCTCTTGGTATTCTGAAAGGTTAAAGAACTGAAGTGTATGTGAATGGATGGTTGGATGGATGGAGTATAGCTAAAACGTATGTGTTCCTTATTTGGGGGGGGCAATGAAATAGTACCTTAGAATAACTAAATGCAGACAGATGTGAAGGTGGCAGCACTGAGGAGGGAGAAGCAGGCCTAGTCTCCATAGCAAATTATAAGCCAGAGTTGTCTCAAAAGCAAGTTATCAGATTACTTTCTGAAGAGTTGGGGGACTCTCCCCTGACTGCCAACAACAGTGCCCACTGGTGGGGCAGTCTCTGGAAACTTCCACAATTTTGAGCAGAGCTAGGAAGAGGCACAGGTCATAGGTTGAAGCTGCCAGCACCAAGCTGTTCCTTCTAAGGGCAGGGAGAGGCAGGGAGGCTGGCCTGAAAGGTCCTCAGCAGCTGCACTGAGCCACCTGGCTTTGCAGGCCTATCCTCCCTTCCCAAGTGTCCCTGCTCAGCCTGGTGAAGCCAGCCTTCCCCCTGGGAATGAACCAGCCCTCTTCCCACCATACTGAGCATGAGGAGGAATATAGCAAATGGGAAGCCAGGCTGACTTCTTTAGACAAGGGAGGAGTCTAGGTCTCTGGCTCAGAGATTATATCCAACCGAGTTTTATACCAGCAAATAAAATGGGAGAGGGAACTAGGGCAAGGGATGCAGATAAATAGAGCAGTTGCCTATTTGTTTGATTTCTGGGCACTGCAAAAAGAAATATTAGTCAGTTCTTAAAAACCCAAACATAACAAAATAGGATTGAGTGAGGAGTGTAGCTCAGTGGTAGAACAGCTAGGGCCAGGCACACTTCACCACACTTCATGTAGACCCTCCTGACTTCCTGGGTTGCTGCGAGGCAGCCTCCAGGCAGGAGGAGAACAATGCTTTAGTATGTCTGGTTCCAGGCTGCAGCCATCTTTTGTGTGACTTTAACCTTCCTCTATAAGGTAAGTATGGCCCAGGGCTCGGTCTGTCCCAGATGACTGTCAAATCCATGAGCTTCAATGCATCTTGTCCCTTCTCTCTGCCCCTGCTATTCAGGCAGGCAGTGCGCAACCCAGCCTGGAGCCTTGTCTCCCCATATAAAATCAGCTCAGGCAATACTGAGAAAATTCCTTAGGGTTTATCGTGAAGCGCTGTGGCCAAACAAAACTATGGTGAGGTATTTCTTTAAAGCATTCACTTTCTTGGGGACTGGAGAGATGCGGCGGCTCCGCTGTTAAAGGGTATTTACTCTTGCAGAGGACTTCAGGGTAGTTGTTAGCACCTCCAACCACCTTCAACTCCAGCTCCAGTGGTTCCTGCAGCCCCTCCTGAACTCCAAGGGCACCCGAATTCACATGTACATACCCACAGAGACACACATGCACATAATTTAAAAGGTTTTAAATCTTTTCAGAAGCGCCCCCGATAACCAAATGCAATAGGTTAGCAGAACTCCAACTCCACAGTGTGTCTTCACAGACCTAACTGAATTATGAGCCACATTATGTAGGTCAGTGGGCCAGAGTGCACTGTTTATCACTTGCTCTGTTCTTGCCTGGCCACATAAGCCTGTGCACAGCAAGGGCCCTCGGCACCTTGCCCAGGCCTCGCAGGAGGCAGAGGCCACTGTCACCTTCTCCAAAACTGCCACTCAGCTTTGACTGTTTCCAAATTCCACATATGAGAAGAGGGAGTCGTGTTTCCTTCACAGAAGAAATGATTTTATTCCCCTTGAGAAAAATACAGAAATACAAGTTCCAGCTGGAACTTGTCTAAAACTCAGTGACTGATATTATCACATAGCACCTTGGTCTACCCAGACACAGATTGCATCTCTGAGCCAAGCCCAACCCTTGCCCTTAGCAGGCAGAGACTCTGTGATAGTCATCTGACACCATCCGAACCCAAGGGGCACTGACCGGCAGATTGCTTGTCATGTTCTGCTTAGGAGTCCTCAAGGCCCGTTACAGGCAGTCATAACCAGTTCCCAATACTTGAGACAGAATACAGAAAAAAAATGGAGACATTCTCTGACAAAAATGATTTTCCCATGGGCCCCTGAGCCCTGCCTGATGAAGATAATGGTGACTACATTTAAGAGAAACGCCACAGCCGCAGAGGTCCCGAGCACCCAGGTAAAAATCATTTACATAATCAAGATCTTCACTGTATCAAGATTCACGGGTTCGTTGTGACCTCAAAATATTTAATTATGAAGACAATTTAAATTTGCTATTTGCACCCAAGGCGGATCACTTTTCTCAGACCCAGTGCCTAACTCGAGTACTGTTCTGCTCCTCTGTTCAGATTTCCTGGCCCACGTGTCAAGTGGCTAGCCATGCCCCTAGCTCACCATCTGAGCAGTCTGCTGGCCTTCTGTTCGGCCTGTCCCTGCTGTGACAAGGCAGACCGACCCTCCCCATCCTCCCACACCCCTGGCAGGGCATGGATGGCTACTGCCTTCAGGGAGTGGCTGAGAGAATCTTGGGCTCCCTGCACCCTCTGGTGTCCAGTGGTGCTCTCTTTACAGCTGTTCACAGCCAGGGGTTGTGGGGTTTGGACAGGTAAATATCTTAAAGGCTTGGTCCTCATCTTGGCACTGGGGAGGGGCGAAACCCTTAGGAAATGGGGCCTGCCGGGAGGAAGTTAGGTTCCTGCAGGTCACTTGAAGGTAATCCTGGGACCCAAGCTCCTTGTCGCCCCGCCTCTCTTCTTGCTCATATGAATAATCTGTTCTACCACACACTCTCCTTCATGATGGGTTACCATAGGCCCCCAAAGCAGGATGAAACCATGGATTGAAACCCTGAGCCAAGGTAAACCTTTCCTATTTAGCATTATTTTATTATAGTAACAGAAAGCTGACCCTCATCGTGTCTGGTTTTAACTGAGGCGCAGCCTCTGCAAGTTTATGCTAAGGACATAACCCCAAAGAGTGGAGTCAAGGAGACAGCGGGATGAACACTGCTTCAGGCACACATGGTGGGGATGGGGGTGGGCCTCCTGTTCTTGACAACATATTTGTCTCAAAGGTGCACGTGTTGGGATCTTGATGGCGGACGTACTCCCTTCGAACCACTTGTAATAACAGCTGTTCCCCAGCTGCCAACTGGGAGAATCCAGGGAGCCATCACCACAGAGATGCTCCTAGCGTGTATCTGGGTAGTGTAGCTTAAATCAAAGGATGGCAGTTTGGATTTGGGACTGTCTCGCTTCTAAAGTGCAACTGCCTCAGTGGGGCCAAGTGAAGAGGAAACACGTCAGGCTGTCACAAACTGTGACCTGTACTCTAAGACTTGGTGACATCCTGCAGAGCACCTTGGTTTATCTAGACACAGGACGTGGCTCTGAGCTCATCTCTCCCCTTAGGAGGCAAGGGACACTGACAGTCGTTTGACTGGATCCAACACGGGGGACACCGATACTGAAGAGCCCTTGTCCTGTTCTACTCAGGAACACTCACAGAATGACTGTGCAAGCGCTCACAGCCAGGCCCCCACATGTTCTCAAGAAACGGCCCTGAGTTCCACATAAATGTCCTGCTGGGAAGGTGGATGTCTGAGCTCCTGCATCGCTGGGTTAGGCCAGGCCATTTCTCAGTCCATATAATCCAGATCGTCATGGTTAACTTCTGTAACTGTCCATACATCTCAGGAAACAAAATGCAACACTCCTGGCAAACAGCTGGTGACAGCTACACATATCAAGAGCCAATTGCCAAAGCCTGCCAATTCTAGAAAAAAAAAAGAGCTTAGGCCCCTGCCTGGGTGGTCGGGCTGACCTGGCTGTCTGAAGCAGAGAGGGTGGGCACTGGAACTGCCAACCTGGGGGCCTGCCCTGGAACAGGGCTCAGGGTCATGGAGTTGTTGGGGACAACAGTTGCATTCAAGCTGTTGGAGGCCTCCCCGGTGGCTTGCATTTTAAAGTAGACGAGATAGAACACTGGCAGCACAATCCCAATGAGAAGCATAAGGAAGACGGCATTCCACCACTGAATCCCACAGTCCGCACCGTCAGACGATGGCTTTTGGGTTGTGGGGAGCAGCGGCTGATCCGGGGCCTCCACACAGCAGCGGTCACTGTGGAAGACGTCGGACTGCACAGCCTGCTCGATGTTCTCATCAATTCCCTTGAAGAAGGCTGCTAGCTGGTTGCCTGGAGGAGTTGTCCCAGTGGCATCTTCATCTTCAGGCAGTTCTACCAGGGCCTCTTTGGTCTCGGAGGATGGGTGGCCCAGAGGGGTTAGCTCTTGGTGGGTCTCCATGAGGATCCCATGATTTCTCACTGGAATCTTGATTGACTTCACAGCATACAGGTCTTGTTCTCGGATGAAGTTGTTCGCTTTCTTGATATCTGCAACCTACAGAAGCCATGCATTATAAACATGCAATGCTCCTTAAAACCAGGACCCAGTAGAGAACCTCGGCCTGCTGGGGCTCCAGGCAAGAAGCCCATGAAGGCTGGAAACCGTGCCCACAGCCAGCTTCCTTTCAGCTGAGTGATTTGGGCATTAGATTGTTTGGTCTTTGGTTTTTTTACCTCTTAATGAATAGTTTAGAAATGAACTGTTCTGCTTTGAACCATTTCAGATCAATTTTGGAACAGCGTTCTGACTACAATGACAGCTTCAGGTGAAACAGGACCAACAGTGTCACCTTTTCTGTCTAAGTCTGAGGCAACAGTGCCCCCATCTCACACGAATCCAGCTGAGCAAGTGGCAGACAAGCTCACCAAAGCCTGAGCTGGCCCTGGTCACACACTCAGTCTCCATCACCTGACAGCTTCCTCAGGATGCTTCCCCGGCACTTTCCAGGTAGCAGGGCTGGCACAGGACCTTATTTCCTGAATAGGAGTTAATTCACCTTGGGGAGACCATACTGCTCACTAGAAGCAGGTTAGGAAATCAGCCATCAAGCCAGGAGGTTTGAACTGAGATTTTTCCATTCCAGACTAAGGTCACGGGAACGTGACCGTGGATTTTATCAAGTAACATAAGGCTTCTAAAATGAGGGATGGAAAGCCAAATTTTAAACTCCCCCCTCAAGCTACTTTTGAAAAACTTCTCTAGAGCATAAGCACAACCCACAGGTTCATTGTGTGTGTGATTGCTTTATTCAGCAAACCACTAGAGTCTCATTGAACAGGCTCGAGGAATGCATCTTATCTTGCCCTGAAACTGACAGACAGGAGAAGCTTGACAGCTTTCATCTTTGTGCACTAAATGAATAGTACGTGTATTTACCTCCAAGAGGAACAGAACTAGTTAGTGGAGATATCAAATATTCATTCTGAATTTGTTCGAGATCATCATTCTGACAGGCCTACTCAGTCTATCTTTCAAGAATTTGTTGGGAAGGCTTTGACTTTTCAGTCCATGGTCTATAAAGTGTGTGTTATGCCCACAGACGCAGATTATAAGATCCAAATGCAAAGGCCAATGCAATGCAAAGATGCTGTGTGTCCCTGGACACCAGCCTTTATTACTTTGGTAAAGACTCCCACACCCACACAATCCTTTTTGCTCATTTGGATCTTGTTAAGATAAACCACAGACAATTTTTAGGAGGTAAAGATTTTTTTTTTTAATTGTGTAGCCAATGCAGCATTGGTGAAAGCTGCTGTCAGTATATAGCACAGGGTTAGCAGCGTGAAACCAGTTGTTTGGATGTGGGAGAAAAGAGCGATTCCAGAAATACTTTCCTACTTACTTTGCCACTGTTAATCACTCTGAGTGCTAAAAACATAATTAAAGAGAAAGATAAGGTTATACAAATGCACAGCACAGAGGCTAGACCATGTAGTTCTAACAGAAAAAAGAAGGGGGAAAAAAAAACTCTATCAGTCAGATTAGCTACTGTCAAGAAAAGGTCAGAAAAATACAAGTAGTGAGAGAAGCAAGCATGCCAGGGAAACTTCAATTAAACTCTGTCTACCATCTCCAGCCCCTAAGATCTTCAATCAAATGTGCTCAAAAGACCATACAATTTCACAGAGTAACTGTGCAAGGCAGAGCAAAGCAAAACACAGCCTTAACTGAGGTTCCCAACTAACCCTTTCTGAGCCCAGAGTTCTGAATGAAGGATGCTCCCACCAGCTTCCATCACTGGCTCTGCAGGATTCTAGTCACCTATGGGGCTCAGGAAGGACAAGGGCCCCTCCTACAGTGATTCCCCTGTGTCTCTCTCAACCCTGGAGGGCGGAGGACCGAACCAGCTTACTTTGCAGCCGTACTGGAGAGCCAGCTTGTTGAGGCTGTCCTCCTGGGCCAGCTCCCGCTGCAGCAGCACCATGTGGCCGGGTCCAGGCTGCTGAAGGTGTTGGAGGCTGCTCTTCTGGCGCTCCCTGCCGCGGGGTCGCAACACTGCATGCTGTGATTCTTCCTCAGAGGAGTCCCCGGAGTCCCCACTGTCATTCTTGAACATGTAAACGTGGCTGCTGGGAGTCCTACAGACAACAGCTGGGCCTTGGAAGGTCTTGGTTAATGATTCCTTCTGCCTCATTTTCTTAACTGAAAAAAAATCAAACTTGGGTTTAATTCCACACAAATGCTATTCATTCTCCTCTGGCTTCCTAAGGAAAACTGTCTGTCTCATTTGTAATCGCCTAGTATTGCAAATATTCAAACAGCATCGGGAGAGAAAAAGAATATCATCACTAGGGCACCTGGTACTGAGATAGAAGCCAGTCACGCTTTTTCTGACTGCTTACTATGTGTGTGTGTGTGTGTGGGGGGGGTGTCCTACTCTTTTTCCCTATATCCAAAGCTGTGCCTCCCCAAGCCCACATACACACCCTAATGTCTCAGAGTACCTAGAGGGGAGCACTGTTCTCAGCTCCCTAACACCAAGAACCTCACACTCAGAACCACTGTACAGAAGGCTCATTAGGCATCCCGAGCTGTCTTAAGGAAAAAGGTCACTACCAAGGACACAAGCTGAGAGCAATCATAGGTCTCTTATTTTGACCCTGGCGGACTTGACCTAAGAGGCAAGCAATGGAAAGATGCCTATCAACGTTCAATCTGCCCATTTCTCACGGCACCCCGCACTCATTACAACCTCATGGTCCCTTGTTTTTTGACACCTAGAACCAAACCAGAGCCACAACTAACCTTTCCCTTCCAAATAGCTGGAATGGGACTCTAGGTATTGCTGGCGGTCCCTTCCGAGTGTCCCTTTAAGGAGACAGCCAGCCTCAGAGCATCTCCTTCTGGCCTCAAATTCTGAGCCCCTGACACCCGGGACGGCCAGAAGGGGCCTCAGTTTCCCTCCAGTGACAGGTGGGGTGTCCTTAACCAGGAGACAAAACAAATTTGAGACGGCCCCGCCCCTGGGCCTAAACAGGCCGGGCCCCAACTTTCCAAGGAGCACACATCTTGCCACCCCCGCAAGCCGGCACCAGCCCTCCGTGGACACAGGCACCGGCCCCGGAGTGGCACCCCACCACCGGGTCAACGGTGACAAGCAGCGCCACGAACCCCGGCCCCCCAAGGCAACCCCTGCTCCAGGTCCGGGTACCTCGCTCCCAGGCTCCACCGCCGCCGGGCCTGCCGATTGGCTGCGACAAGCAGGCTTTTCCGGGGGCGGGGACTGAGAGTCAACCAATGACTTCAGAGGAGGGCGGGCACTGGCACAGACGGAGGTGCTGAGAGGTCGGAACGCGCCCTGCTCGAAGGGGCGGGCCCTGGTGGGCGGGTCTCCAGCGCGGAGTTTGGACCTTCGCTGCTTAGCCGTCTCGCCCGGGCTGTGCCCAGTTTCCACTTCTGAGCCTGGTGTGAAACTTGGCCTCTTTCGTGGTGGCCACGGCTTTCTGCTGAGCCTCGCTCTTCCCGGAAGGAGATACCTTTGACCCGTGTGTGTCCTGATCCGTGGCTAGGAGCGTCCCCAGTACGGCGGCGTGCCACTCCGGAGGCCTGTCCTGGGAGCCTGACCCCGGGTTTTCCACCCCTTTTCCTTTGAGGAGCTGAATGGTTACCAGATCCTGCCTGGAGAGAAAAGTCCAGCTATGTGAAATAGTGCCGTGACAGCCCAGACCAGACTTAGATAAACGAGAATATATATCACCTGGCTAGCCAGTGAGTCCTGCTTTTTGGAAAAGAGACGAAAACCTGTGGTGATGTTTTGCAACAAACACAAATTAATCCTTAATGGAGTAAGACTCGTCCAATGAATAAGGAAGAAACTAAGTGACCTGGGCCGGCAGCACACCAAAGAATTCAGATGTCTGGCAGCTGAACCACGGTGCTAAGCCTTTCTGGGAATCAACATTAAAAAGAGCCCAGAAATTCTTCCTATGGCTTAGAATAAAACTAAAAGTCTTATTCTGAACGTCTAAGGTCAGGATGGCACCGGGCCATGGCCCTCTCTGCCAGCCACAGAGCCCATTTCTCTGGCTTTAAACATCTGGTCTTTGTTTACCTTGCCAGCCAACCCAGGAGGCTAGGCTTGCTAATCTGCCTAACAAGTTCCCTCAGACACGTACTCATTTCTCCCACCCAGGCAATTTTGACCGTTTCCCGGGCTTGGATGAGGCCGCATGAGAGGTACGACTCACCTGTCAAAGTGGGCGGGTCAGGGGCGCAGCCTCAAGAATAGGTCCACTGCTCTGATCCCAAGACAGTGGGGACCAACCCCACACGCAGAGCTGTCCATTCAGATATCCTTCAACCCTTGTCAAACTAGTCTCCTCCCAGGTCTGCCCTTCTCTTGGGAAGGAGGATGTAAGGTGGCAGAGGCAAGCTATTTAGCTTTCAGGGTATGGCTCCAAGCTCCAGGGCTGAACAGAGAACTGTAGTGGAATTTCAAAAGCTCTCGTCTTTTCATTTGGTAGAGAGAAATTTAAGAGACACAAGGGGACTTGCTGCAGGCCACACGGCAGGTAGCAGTGGCCGGGAGAGAAGCAGAGTCAGTTGAACACTGGCCAGTTATGACCTTGACCCCGTCCCTAAGCTTCCTGAGCCGTGGTCCCCTTCTTCTACTGTCTGTGATGGCTGGGATGGCTTTACAGCCCCGCCTGGAACAATTCCAAAGTACGCCTGTTGTCACAGCACAACTCATAGTAAAGCCATTTATCTTAGTGTGACATGCTCTGCACTTCCAAGAGTGGCAGTTTGCTCGTAGTCACGATAAAGATGCTGAAGTGTAGCTCTTCACAGTTGGCTTCTGGTGGGGTGGGGGTGGGAAGTCTCGGTTTTTGCTAAGGGTCTGGCCACTTGGAGAATGGAGTTTGACCATGCTCCAGTGAGTACATGGGCAACACAAATGGGACTTGGTATTTTGTTGTTGTTGGGTTCTTTTAGGGGGAGGGTGGACCTGGGAAGAATGGGAAGCAAGTGTGAACGAGGTACATGGTACAAAATTCCCAAATAATTGATAAAGTATTATGGTGGGGGAAAAAAATAAAAGAATCAACGGCATTCAGACTGCTTGCTTCTCTGCTTTGGGCTGAGGGAAGACAAGACTTTTCCCACCCCGACCCCCAGCAACACACACCATTTTTGAAGCAGAGAAGCTCTCGCCAAGCAGACAACAAAGCCTCCTGGCACCTTGATATTGGACTCCTTGGCCTCCAGAATGGTAAGAAAACATATATCCGCCCTTTGTAGACGACCTCATCTCAGTGTTCTATAATAACAGTGCAAACAGACTGTGTGTGGGGGGGGGGGGGGCAGAATGGAGTCATTACTGCTCACAAGCTAGTTTCAGACTCACCACATAGCTGAAGATGACCTTGAACTCCTGACCCTCCCACTCCTACCAACAGTGTGATAAGATTACAGCTATGTACCACACCAAGCATGGTTTTATGGGTGCAGGGGATCAAACCCAGAGCCTCAGGCATGCTGAGCAAACGCCCTGTAAATGACCATTTTTTTTTTTTTTTAAAAGACTCTGTATGTCGTCCTTGAGTGGTGAGTGCACTGGCCACTGCAGGTGAAATGAGTGCTGTGGAGGCGACCATCCTGTCAGGAAATTCTCGCCCTGACAAGGCAGCTGCTCAGCACACAGGTCCACTGAACCTTTGGAAGTGGGCTGTACCTCAGTCTGAGTATAAACTTCACACTAGGTATCTTTAAATTAATACTTCTGGTTAGTGTGTGTCCGTGTGTGTGTGTGTGTGTGTGTGTGTGTGTGTGCGTGCGTGCTCCTCGCACGCATGTGCCACAGTGCATGTGAGGAGGTCAGAGGACAGCTTATTTGTGTTTTCTCCTTCTGCCCTGTGTCCTGGGAATTCAGCTTAGGTTACTGAGCTTGGAGGCAAGTGTCTTAACCAGCTGAGCCCTCATCTTGAGCTCACACTGGGCTTAAAGTAGTCAGTATACAGAAAGAGTCTAACTTTCTGTATAACTTAGTTATTTATGTCACATTTATGAGATGTGATTGTCTATAGAAAATGCTGTTGAAATTAATTCCACCAGTTCATTTTGTTTTGTTTTGTTTTCTTACTGTGTCAACTAGGCATGACCCTCCTGGAGCTGAACTCCAGTGTGCAGACGCTTCCCTGGCTAAGGCCTCCTCTGTAAGGGGCCTTGTTTAACTGGTAGAGATAGAACTATTGCAGACGGAAGGAGACAGGCCAGGCAGCTGACAGCTCCACAGAGACTGGGACAGGGAAGGAGGGAGTCAAGGGTACTGCCCAAGAGATCTCTGGGCCTCCCCACCCTTGCCTTTCCTAGCTCTGGCCCTCTGTCCCCACCCACCTTCTCCGCCTGGTGGTAGGATCAGGCACAGCAAAGGAGAGGGCAAGAAAGAGCCTCTGAAGTAGGCGAAAGATCAGGGCCCTTCTGCCAGGGAGGTGAGAGTTGGAGCTGTGCTGGTGGTGTTTCTGAGGCCAGAGTGTGAGTGGGTTCCCCAGACTGAGGGGCAGGTGGGAGCAGTATGCAAAGACAGGGTCTGGGGCGGGGATGGACAGAAACAGAGTCACAAGCTGTACCTGAACCCCACAAAGACAATTCAGGGTGTACGTCTGGTGGATTGCTGTTTGCAGGGACTGTTCAGGTGGAAGTTCTGAGTTACCAAAGGTGGCTGTCGGTGGTAAAGCCCCAGTAGATCCCACGTTATGGGCGGCTTTACTTATACATAGGAGCAAACTCCCCTAAGGCCCGTGACAACTGTTCCTACCTTAAAACACACCTCAGGCTTATGTGTTTTGCGTACACACACACACACACATACACACACACACACAACATGTCCAATGTTAGATTGCTCAGATCTTGGATGGGGCCAAACTTGCCAGGGTTTGGCTGATTGTCCTCAGTAGGCCGATTTAAGAGACATGTGATACTGAAAAGCAGAGAGAGGGGATTTATGCAATTCGGCACAGAGAATTCCAGCGACCCCCAAAGCCATCTTCAGGGTTCTGACATGAGATTCAGGCTTAAATAGAAGGCAGAAGGTATGCACAGCTAAGCAGCCCAGGTCAAGGTGTGGTCCTGCTCATCAGTGACTCATAATTGCCTCAGCCTCTTGCTCGAAGGCTGTCCTTCCAGTTGTCAGAACGGTGTGAAATCCCTTTCTCGGAAACCAGCTCTCTGACTGTGACAAAGGTCCCAGCCTTTCCTGTTTCCCAGCAGGGGACTCTGGGAAATCCCAGTTCCTTGGGGTTCATCATCTCATCAGCCTGATAGTGGAAGGGAGGGGCCTGGGTGTCTTTCTTTAGAATGGTTCCCTCTCTACTGCACCGTTACAGCACCACACCTTATTAAACATAATAGACTTGAGTGTGTATTGGACCAATACAGGACCATAGAGCAGATAGTCTCTTCAAGTGTGGGGGACACTCACCACCCCCATCACTGAGGATCTCCTCCGTCCAGGACCCCCGCAGCCTCGCCTTCCACCTCACAGGCTCTTGGAAAGTTAAGTCTCAGGGGCAGACAGGGTTTACCTAAGAGCTGTCACAACAAAGGGACTGGAGTCACAGGAGTGGAGAAGGCAGATGGAGGAGGCACCGGGTCAACCAGAGATTAATAATGGCTGGGGCCACTGTCCCATCTGGGAGACAGGGTAAAGGGCAGTGATATGGGAGCCTAGGGAAGTACGGAACTCTGTGTAGTGAGAACAGTTCAGAGGAGGTCCAAATGTTGTGGCACTGGCTCAATACCATGGGAAGGAAGGAGCACCCTCGGGCCAAGCCCCTACTGGTTTCTGTAAACTCAAATGTCAGCACCACCCATTCCCAGTTTGGGAATCACATGGGTTAGTGTCAGGTTGGCCCCACTACAGAACAGAGCCACAAAGGACACACAGCCTAGGGCCAGCACCATTTAAGATGTGACAGTACCCTTGAGAGGTCCCACTTGTGGAGAAGGACCAGCTTGCCTATTAGGAGCTGACTCCTGCTCAGCCCCAGACAGGTGTGGGAACCCTGACACTGAGTACCTGTCTTATTTAGGGTTACTATTGCTGTGATGAAACACCATGATCAAACACCACTGTTGCAGCAATCACTAATTTAAAAAAAAAAATGGACCTGGGCTTGCCTACAGCCTGATCTTATGAAAGCATTTTCTTAATTGAGGTTCCCTCCTCTTGGATGATTTTTAGCTTGTGTCAAATTGATATAAAACAATCCAGCACAGTACCAGAGGATGTGATTGTATTCAGACATGGAGTGATAACATTTGAAGATCTTTAAAGATATGATTCAGTAAAGATGAGACCTTTTGGGTGGGCCTTAATCCAATTTGACTGGTGTCCTTGTTGAAAGATTATTAATATTTAATATTGATTTATATTTTAGTAAAGCAGTGGTTACTCCCTAACCAGCTATCTACTCAAATAACCACACAGAGAAACTAGGATTTATTTCATTAGCTTAGAGCACAATGCTGTACAATAATTACTCCATCCTAAACCTCCAGGCTAGTATAGCTTCCTCCCATTCAGATTCCCACATTATACTTGATTTTTAGTCATATCCTGAGTCCGGTTCATTTCTCCTGATGTTTCCCAGTCCTCTCCTCATGGATACATCCCTCTCCCACTGTCCTTTCTCCTCCCTTCAGTGGACTAGGATGTCCCATTCTAGTCTCTGTATTGCTCAGCATTGACTAGTTGGCTTTCATTGGCAATACAGAGAACAAATTGTGGCATGTTTACACACCTGAGACAGGAGATGCTTAGAATAAACATCACAATGTAATGTATGAATTGAAACCAGATAGTGGGGTAGAGAAATCAGCCTTTGAATGAACAAGGGTAAACTTTACACAATCC